CGGGGGCAGCCACTGCACTCCAGTCTGGGTGACAGAGTGAGACTCCAACTCAAAAAAAAAGAACAATTTACTAACACATATTTGATGAATTAATAAATAATGTGCAACAGGTATTATAATACAAATATGAGCAAAATAATCCAAGTCTTTAATAAAGGCTTAAAACTAGTATAGGTAGCTTTAGATTTCACTAAAATATTTCCTTCCAAAAATCATTATTCTTTCACTTATAAGTGGGTAACTAATTTACACATTGCAAATTAAAATGTTTTACAATAATTGCCCCCTAATGAAAAAAAAAAATCACAGGTCAGATTTACATGGTTAATTTTAATTACAAAAGTACTTTTATATTAAATAACAGATTCTCTACCACCATTCAAACATTATAAACCCCAATTTACAGATGCAAAAGCAAAGGCCAGTTAAGTAATTTTGCCAAATTTTGCCTATTTCAACAAGGATTTAATATACTTTTGCAGTTCAACAAAATAATTTTTGCTATATCCAAAAAGTTGTGATTAAAAAAAAAGATCTGGTGAAAAATACGGTATCACTAAGAAATGGTCCGTGTAGGAAATTTTTTGTATTGCTACTATGTACTTTTGGTATTTTATACTGTTTTTCCTTTTTAAAAAAGTACTTTTTTGTTTCCTGAGTTGCCATCTTGAGTCTTACATATGTAAAAATCACTGTATACAGAAAACAAGTATGAATGTATCTGTAGGCATGAGTGAAAAAGCATCACAGAAAAGAGAAGTGGGATTATTATTACCCCAGTATCTTATATCTATTTTTACTTGCTAATTAACAGCTATAAAGATAAATAATGGCTATTCCAAATCCAAAAGGGCTAAGAATGGTTTCTATAACACTGTACTAATTTTATCCTACTACAAGAAAATTATGTTCATTAGAAAGCAATTTTATACATAATTATATAGGTTTAAAGTGGAAAAATAAGACTTGTAAGATAATTAAAGGTGGCAAAAAGCAATTCTTAATGACTTAGCTAGCCCTTCAAATAAGGCAAGGGAAAAGAAAACAGAGAGAGGCAAGAAAATAATGAACAATGTACGGGGTATAAGTACATAAATAGAGGTGTGCTCAGGTCACTCTGCTAGTCCCTGCCCCTTGGTCTCCAGCTTCTATAGATAGAAAAAGAAACTATGGGAAGAGGCTCTACTTCTGGAGGCAAGAATCTAAGAGGTAGAGAGATGACTTCACCTTGATTTATTCTGAGATTGTGATAAGTATTTCCCTGGCCTTTTTTCTTTAACTTTTATTATAAATATTTTAGGCCAGGCATGTTGGCTCACACCTATAATCCCAGCACTTTGGGAAGCTGAGGCAGGAGGACTGCTTGAGCCTAGGAGTTCAAGACCAGCCTAGGCAACACAGTGAGGCCTCATCTCTACACAATAAATACATAAATAAGTAAGTTAGCCAGGCATGATGGCATGCACCTGTAGTCTCAACTACTCAGGAGGCTGAGGTGGAAGGATTGATTGAGCCCAGGAGGTCGAGGCTGCAGTGAGCCATGATCATGCCACTGTACTCTAGCCTGGGTGACAGAGTGAGAATGAGACTCTGACTCAAAAAATAAGATATAATGAAATAAATAGTATAAGTACCTTCAAACATACAAAAATTGAGATAACAGTAATCACCCAGCTCTAACAAGTATCATTATTCTATTGTGGGACATTTTTTCTTTAATTACTACAATCAAATATTAATTTTCCCCAATGATAGAAGAGGTATCAACATGGTATAGTATTCTTTTCTTATTTTTATACCAGAAAAAGGTTTAAGTGTTCCCCTAAAAAAACATCTGGTTTGGCAGTATCAGTTTAAATAAATGGCCACCAGGAGGAGCTCACGTGGGCCACGGAAACCGTCATTTCAGAGGCATTTGAAGCAAGGGAAGAGGGGGTAATAAATCACATAATGCTTAAGTCTGGCTCTGCACACTTCAAGCACCACAAAATCAATAATGAAAAAACTCAATCCAACCAATTTATCTTAGCCAACATCTAAGAATAACGAAGCTGCAGAAACCAATATTTGGAGTTTCCTTCCAATCTTGAAGATAGATTACAAAATTTGATTCTACAGCTTCTGAAAGTTCACCCTTCAAATTAAATTCATTTTCCAAATCATCATGTGCTTAATACTCTTTAAGGCCAGAAGCCAGAAACAAAAGCTTAGATTTACGAAGGTACTGTTTTATAAAGTACATCTTTTCATGATATGTTTTATATACAGACTTTAAATTTTTGTGTAAGAGAAATTCTTCAAAACACTTCGTAAGAGTTAAAAATATATACAATAATAACAGCCTTTCTTTCTTACTTTATCCAAGAATACACACTTATTTTCTTTACTTTTTTGGAGATAGGAGAAAGTAAAAAAGCAGGTGGAGGGACAGAGCTGTTATATAATTCCAGGGTCACCATTAACACTATATTCTAGATTTGTGTTCCAGGAGGCACCATTCACACAGATTACAATATGAATGGTACCACTTAAGAGTTATGCAACAGCCGGCGTGGTGGCTCAGCCTGTGATCCTGTGCTCTGGGAGGCTGAGGTGAGTGGACTGCCTGAGCCCGTGGGTTCGAGACCCGCCTGGCCAACTTGGCGAGACCTCATCTCTACAATAAATCAAACATTAGCCGGGCGTGGTAGCGCATGCCTGTAATTCCGTCTACTTGGAAGGCTGAGCGGAAAGATCGCCGGAGCCCAGCACTGCACTCCAGTCTAGGCAACAGAGCAAGACTCCAACTCAAAAAAAGAAGAAAAAAAAAAAAAAAAGAGTTATGCAACTCAGTGGAACAGTAGAGAGAAAGTTAAACAGACTATATCAGCTTCTATCAGTGAACCAAACAGCTAAAAAATATTTCTTCCAAAAATAAATACAAGATGGTCAATCACAAATAAGTAGATTTGGGGTGAGATTGAAAGGTTCATATCATTGCAATCTTTCTTCTTTTTCAGAAAATATGGATTTATATATAGAACCTACCCCAGGAACAGCAACAAATAAGCAACTTTCACCAAATCACTACTGTCGTTCATACTTTCCTTTAATTTCTAGGCCCTGATATTAGTTCATAATCTTCTTGTACAAATAATTTAATCTCCAAAAAGTTGTGAGCAACGTCACTGATTAATGAAAAGCTCCATATGTTTTATCTAACTATATACATTTAACTATATTTCTATCAGAAACAGTGTATCTTGCTAACCAAGATAAAAGCTGTTTTAGTTCCTAAGTAATCTGATAGAAGCAAATCAATTAACTAACAGGATGAGACCTAACCTTCCAGAAAATGTGAAGCAAGAACAATTTTAAGCTATAAAAGAGAAAGAAAACACATTACTTTAAGATTATAACAACATGAAATTGAAAAGTATAGACTACTTGCCTAAATTCTGCTTATGGCAAGTCTTTAAAGTTTTGGCTTAATCCCTCTAGCAACCAATTACAAGACTTACATTAGTAATATAGGGCTCAATAGCTTGAGCGGTCCTCTTCAGTAAAGCCTTTGCCAAATCATACGCTTGCTTGTTTAAATTCTGAAAAACATAAACAACATCGATGTCACATATCTCTTAACTATGAAAGGCAAAATACTACCTGTATTCAAAAGCTATTCTTGAGTAAATGAATATAAGACAAACAAAGAGAAACCTAAGACTCAATTAGAATAAAAGAGAGAAAGAAAGCAAAGTCACTTTTCTTAGAACTAACCTACTAGATCATAAAATCTCTTCCATGCAAGGACAATCACATTCTCTCCTTATCTTGTTCTTAATATAATGTAAGCTGCATAGAAATGGTCAATAAAAGATAGAGAAGGAGATATTTAGTCATTCTCAATCTACTTGGCAAATCAATCAGTTCAGCTGAGTTCAAACTCAGGCTGTTCCACTCCAGGTCCAAAAAAGTCAAAACATCCTAAAAGGATGCACTGAGTTAATAGTGTGAGCACCAATGGGATGCCCATAGGTGAGAAATGACAAAGGATTTTGGGGTAGCTGTCAGAAAGCAGATTTACTCAAGTGTACCTCAGATGACAGACAAGTCCAAGAGTAACACAGAAAACATAACAGCTAGTAAAATATGGGGGGGGGGTGCAAAAAAAAATATTTTAAGAAAATGTGTTTCCAAGAGACTATGATAATGATAGAAGGAATTAAAGATCTTAAGAAGAAGTCTCTATTCCAGTTTAAACAGATTCTGGAGAATATGATTAGACAGGAGAACACAAATACTGTACATATCCTTAAACACACACACTTTACTCAGCAGACTTTTAGATTTACCTATCTTGATGCTTATATTTTATTATTTCATTAATCTGTATCTATTGTTTAGTATTTTACTATATATTATAGTTTCTTTACTGATTTGCCTTATTCATTAATATTAAGTTATGTCTTATACAAGTCTCCTTATACACACGAGAAATATTTTTCTGTAAATTCTATCTTTGCCATCTTTTAATTGGGCTGTTTTTCTTGCTCTTATTCATTTGTAGAGTTTCTCTATAAACTCTACAGACTAAACTTTGTCAATTATAGATGTCCCTCAACTTATTATGAGGTTACATTCTGATAAACCCATAATAAGTCAAAACATTTAATATTCCAATAAACGCAGCCTAAAGTCTACAAATCCTAAGCTGCAGATCATTTTAGGATTTAAGACTAACAAATCTCAGTCTGTATTTGTCATTTTACAATGATTATGGTATCTTAAAGTATACAGAAGTTTTCAAATTTTTTGTACGTTTTTGACAGATATATAGGAGTGGTACATATTTGGGGGGCATGTGTGATATTCTTACACATGTATACAAACAATGCATAATGATCAAATCAGAATTAACTGAGATATTCGTCATGTCAAATATTTATCTTTTCTTTGTGTTGAGCACATTAACAATCTTCTCTTCCAGTTATTTTCAAATATAAATTATTGTTAACTAAAATTTCCCGACTGTACTATCAAATACTAGAACTTCTATCTAACTGTATTTTTGTACCCCTTAATCAACTCTGCTTCATTCCTCCCCTCTCTCATTCCTTTCCCAGTCTCTGGTAATCACCATTCTACTCTCTACCTCCATAAGATGTACTTATTTTTAGCTCCCATGAGTGAGAACATGTGCTATTTGTCTTTCTATACCTGGCTTATTTCACTTAATAGAATGACCTCCAGTTCTATCCACATTGCTGCATATGTCAAGATTTCACACTTTATAGCTGAATAATATTTCATTGTGTATATATACCATATTTCATTTATCCATCCACTGATGAGTAAAGGGGAATCTGTATCTTGGCTACTGTAAACAGAATTTTTAAATTTTAATGTAACCACATTTATCAGTCTTTCCTCATATGGCTTGTACTTCTACATCTTTATTAAGAAATTCATTCCGACTCTGAAGCTGTAAAGACGTTGTTTTTTTATTTTTAACTAAAATTTTAAAGATTTGCCTTTCAGATTTAGATCTTTATTGTACCTGTAATTTACTTTTATGTATAGTGTGAAATCAGAATCTAATTTTATTATTTTCCATATGGGTAGCCATTTGCCCTAAAACCATTCATTAAATAGTTCACTATTCCTTTTGATGACTTGTAATATCCATTCTCTCAGCTTCTACATAACATAAATTGTTCATTATTTCTATACATATCTTTGTCTATTACTGCCTAATTATAGTTAAATAAACATATAGAAAGACCAGTTCTCCATTTTCTTATTCTTTTGCAAAACTGTTTGGCTATTATTGGCCATTTGCTCTTCCATATGAATTTTAGGTTCCACTTGTTACATTACACACCAGTAAACATACCATCAATTTCCATTTTGATTGAATTATTAATCAATAGGCAGAAAATTGACTTCATTATAATACTGACTTTCCTCTTCCAAAAATAACAAATCTCTCAACATATTTAAGTTTCCTATTATGCTTTTCAGTCAAATATAGTAATTTTTAGCTTAAAGGTTATGCACACTTTGGTTAAATTTCTAAGTATCTTAGGTTTTTTAATGTTTTGAAATTATGGTAATAGATTTGTGTATATTCTTGTAATTACCAATGTTCCAGAATTTTCTTATTTATTTTAGAAATTTATCTGTACACTGTTTTGTGTTTTCTGTACAGGTAATCATATCACCTATAAATAATTTCAGTTTTGTATCTTACTTCTTTTCTTTTTTTTTTTGAGTTGGAGTCTCACTCTGTCTCCTAGGCTGGAGTGCAGTGGCATACTCACAACCATCCCAGCGTTGACCTGCTGGGCTCTGGCAATCCTTCTGCCTCAGTCTTCCAAGTAGCCAGAACTATAGGCGCACACTACCGTGCCCGACTAATTTTTGATTTATGTAGAGACATGGTCTTGCCAAGTTGCCTGGGCTGGTCTTGAACCCGAGGGCTCAGGCAATACACTTGCCTCAGCCTCTCAAAGTGCTGGGATTACAGGCTGAGCCACCAAGTCTGGCCTGTATCTTATTTCTAATCCTTTTATATTTTACTGGTCTTGTTATTCCAGTAACTTAAGAATTTTAGTATAATGCTGATCAGAAATAGCATACTTGCCTTTTGCCTAAGTAAAAGCAACATTTTTATAATGTTCCTAACTTCAAAGAGAATGCTTCGACATTTCACCATTAAATATTCTATCATACATATCATCCTCCTTATGAGTCTAAGAAAATTCCTTTCCAGTGCAAATTTGCTAAGAGTTATCATAAACTACACTGAACGTTGTCCATCTTTTTTCTGTCTATTAAAATTTTTTTCTCGCTCTGATCTGTTAATTTAAACAAGTATCTTAGTCTAACACTAACATTTTCTAATGTTAATCCACCCTGTATACCTAAAATAAAGCAAATCTGTTCATTATTAACAGCACTTTATACCATTCTGGATGCTGTTTATTACTTTATACTGCATTTACAAAACTATATTCATAAATTCAATTCTCTGCTCATAAAGTGAGCTATGAAGTAGCCTTTCCTTTCCACAGTCTGAAAGTTTACTGAAGATTCTAACTATCTGCCACCCAAATGATCTACAGTAATCTCTTGGTGATGGATTTAGATTCTTTTTGTTGTTAGCTTGCGTTCTGCTCTTAGTATTGTTGTTGTTGCTACTGTTGTTGGAAAGAAAGAGTTTACTACTGTTGTTGCTACTGTCTGAAAGAAAGAGTTTCATTTGTCTGAAAGGTAGAGTTTTTAAAATCAATTAAATGTCTTCATTGGTTAAAAGCTATTCAAGATTTTCTCTCCTGATACAAACCTGCCAGGTTATATTTTCTAGGAATTTGTTTCAGTTTAATGTCAAATACACTAGCCTAAAGTTTTGTTCATGGGTGGTCTTTTTTCATGTGGTTTCTCATTTCATTCTAAAACTGTAATTTAATAGCATCTCCCTTTCTTTGATTCAACTTTCCAAGGATTTAATTATTTAATAGATTTCAAATTACCAACTTCAGGTTTTGGTGGACTCACTCTGTTTTCTACTTCACTAATTTCTACTCTTCACTGTTTTCTTCCTTGTATACTTTATTTACTCTGATAATTCTTATAATTTCTTGAAATGTACAGTTAGCCACAAAGTTTCATTTAAACTGCATTCTGCAAGTTTTAGAATGCATCATTTTAATGATCATTTCTCAATATTTTATCATTGCCATTATGATTTGTTGTTTTGTCACATTAATTATGCTTGCTATAAACTTGTAAAATCCTCAATATTCTTATATATTCTTGGTCCATTTAATTTATAATCACTGAAAATCATGTTAAAATGGCATATTACATTGTGAATGTTTCTTTCTCTTCATAATTGTTTCGATTTGTGCTTTATATATTTCAAGTCTGTATGCATACAAAAAAAAATCCTCCTGTGTACTGAATCTTTTATTATATAAAGCCCTTCTTTATCAAGTAAAGACTCCTATACCTAATATAAACTATCTGTTTTCTTTTGGTCTGTTATTTCCCTAGCAAGTCTTTTTTTCATTCTTTTACATTTGATCTTTGTGTAAATGTATTTTAGTTATAGTTCGTATTAACAACAACCAGTCAGGTTCTCTTCAATCCAATCTGACAATCTGTCTCACGTGGTAAATTTAGGCCATTTACATTTATTGTAATTCTATCTTTTATTGCAATCCTTAAATTTTTAACATGAGTACATCCATTTAAAGTTCAAAATTAGGCTGGGAGTAGTGTCGTACATCTGTAATCCCAGCCCTTCGGAAGGTCGATGTGGGAGGATTGCTTCAACATAGGAGTCAAGGCCAACCTAGGCAACAAGATGAGACCTTATCACTACCAAATAAATAAATAAATAAATAAATAATTAGCTGGGCATGGTGGCATACACTTATAGTTCCAGCTACATGGGAGGCTGAGGAAGGAGGACTGCTTGAGCCCAGAAGGTTGAGGCTACGGTGAGCCATGATGGTGCCACTGTACTTCAGCCTGGGTTGATATGGTGTGACCTCAACTCTAAATAAAATAAAGTTCAAAATTAATCAATAATTCTATGTACCCCTGACCTTTCAAGGATCAAATCACTCATTAACTCCATTAAGTCACTCAATCTTACACTTATCCAGCAGTTTAAGTCTACTGTTAATACTCAATACTTAGAATTATTACTGGTACTGTTTTTGTTTTATATATCAGTCCTTATTTAGACATTTCTTGTTCACCACTATTTTTTTTTTTTTTGAGTTGGGTCTCACTCTATCACCAAGGCTGGAGTATAGTGGCAGGATCATGACAACCATGGCTCATGGCAGGCTCAACCTCCTGGGCTCAAGTGATCCTTCCACCTCAGCATCCCAAGCAGCTGGGACAATAGGCACACACCACCATGTACAATTTTTTTTTTTTTTTTTTTTTTGAGACAAGGTTTCACCATGTTGCCCAGCTGTTTTTAAACTCCTGGACTCAAGCAATCCACCTGCTTCAGCCTCCCAAAGTGCTGGGATTACAGGCGTGAGAGCCACCACATCCAGTCATTAATGACTATTGTTTATCTCACTTCTAAATTCAAATTTCTTCACTCTGAAGTACTGACATAATAGTTCTTTCAAGAAGACTCTGTTGTCCAGTGAACACTTAATGTCTTCTTTTAACTCTGATTTAACTTCATCAAACTGGATACACAACTCTAGGTTGACAATTATTTTATCTTAGCGTTTTGAAAATATACTTCCATTATCTTCTGGCCACTATCATCGCAACTGAGAAGTCAGCAATCAGTTTAACCTTCATTTCTTGGTAAAGGCTATGCCTTTTCATTCATTCATTATTTCTATTTTAACGTTCTGCAATTTCGCCAAGACGTACCTTGACAGGTATTTATTTTTTTAAATTTATTCTGCTCATGATACTTTTTCTACTTAATCCATAAATGTATGCTTTTCACCAATTCTAGAATATTTTAAGCTAATTTCTACTTGAGTATGATCTCTTCTCCACTATTTGTTGTTCAAAACTCACCATTAAACATGTCAGACCATAATTTCACATTTTCACTGTGTTTGTATAAGTTCCTCACATCTATCCCCAGATTTCAATTTCAATGATCATTCCTCACTTCTAATAAGTTTTTCTCCTAATGTTCTCCTACTATATGTCTGGTTATTGTGTTTTTTAACTCTTAAATATGTTTTATCATTAATCCTTTCAAGGATATTTGTGACTTTTTAAAAACTGTTACTATGTTTTCATCAGTGCCATAAACATTCACTAAAGTATGCAGAGTTAAATTTATGCAAAAGACATAAAACACAAGCCACCTTGGAAAACTTCCAGTCTAAGCTAAGGAGATAAGCAAAGGATTGAATTGTAAATAGTTGGTGGGAAGAGTCCAGGTCCTATACTTACAGATAGGGAGTTAGGTAGGTCGGTCCTAGAATTCTAGCTTCTAGAAGGTTCTTTTCCCACAGCAAGGCCAAGGGGGAAAATGTACATTCAGGAAGCACCGACTTATTTTCCCCACAAAGCCTTTTCCACTGACAATGAATGATGGAGGCCTTAAGATGTCTCTGGCAGTCAGCTACCGAATGCAGAAAGCCAAACTAGATACTTGTTTTGTGTCAAGAGAGCAAACTGGGCAGAACTGACAGGATGTGTGATCCAGAGGGCAGAGCTGGGTATCTAGTCAGGTACAGCACCTTTAGGAGGCCTCCTGGGTCTCCTGGGAACCCAGCTTTCCTCCCAAGGGCATTCTGTGTTTGGATTGATGACTCCCTCCCTCACCTAAGCACACTAGGCACACTGCTTGCAACATCAGGCCAGGCATCTCTGTTCATCTGCCCTGAGGAAGCCAGAAGCTGGGCTCAAGCTATTTTTTTTTTTTTTTTTGAGTTGAAGTCTCACTCTGTTGCCCAGACTGGAGTGCAGTGCAGTGACCGCTCCCGGCCACCACAGCCTTGACCTGCTGGGCTCCGGCGATCCTTTCGCCTCAGCCTTCCAAGTAGCTGGAAGTACAGGTGCGTGCTACCACGCCCGGCTAATTTTTTAATTTTATTGTAGAGATGAGGTCTTGTCAAGTTGCCCAGGCAGGTCTCGAACCCGTGGGCTCAGGCAATCCACTCACCTCAGCCTCCCAAAGTGCAGGATTACAGGCTGAGCCACCAAGCCCAGCCCAAGCTGTTTTTAATAGCTCATTTAATAAAAAGGATTAACAGGGATCCTAACTAGATGTACCAAGACAAAGAAGGTGATGGGACACAACTGCTAGCCCGTGCCCGCCTTCCCTCTTGAGGTCAACAGGGACAGAGGCAAGGCTGGACTGAGTAGAGCTGGGATACGGCAGGCCATGTCCAAGACGTGCAGCAGGAATGACCTGAGAAGTGGTGGCAGAGAGAGATGGTGCCTATTCAGAGCCAGCAGTGTACCAGGGCTTACGATTTTTATTTAATAAATACATTATCTGAATTTTTTAGGTCTAACTAATCTTGCTGTTTGTAGTGTCTGCTGACTTTTAGCACTACTAAACTATTTTAAGTAAATCAAAACACACACACACAGAAAAAAAATACACAAACATAGTTGATTAACATCACCCAGGCATGAAACACTGTCATCAACATATCCCTTGTCTCCCAATTAGTACAGACTTCCCTTTTAATTTCACCCTTCCTCTCTGCCTCCATTAACACTGTCTTTTAGTTAAGGCCCTAATTGGTTCCATCTTCCAACATACAACATTATATAACAGCATCTCAGTACTTATTAACTCACTCTCTGAAATATACTCTAAAACTGAATTATCACATACATATTTTATTACATTTGTCTTAATTAGTGAATAACAGGTGTATTATGTTTTATTATACATTAAACACAACAAATGCATATTAATTTAATCAATCAATGTTCCAACACTAAGGTCAAAGCAAGATAAATTGTATTTAGAACCTAAGCACAAATTTTGGACCTTAATATTAATGGGCATTAGACACATTTCAGTATATATTGCTACTTACCTTATGAGCAGGTACCAGATTTACTAAAACTGTATCCAAAAGCTCCTGAGATACTGTATCGCCTTCACAAATAATAGAGCTCATGAGGTCTACCATGTGCATATGAACTTTCTGATTGTGGCCATTGCTGAAATTCAAAACAGATATTTTGCTGAAAGTACAACAGAGAGGTACAGGACTGATTCATGATACTTTACAAAAATGATTCTAAAATATTAAATAAAAGGTTATATATACTCATTTAAAGTCTCTCTCTCCCACATCTTATTATAGTATCCAAATTACATTTCTAAACTTCTTTTTTAAATCACTTCTAATTTTAACACGTCTCACAATTAAAAGTGATTAAATCAAAAAGCAACTTCAGTTTTGCTTTAAGTTTAGAAAATCAAATTGTTTTGAAATTAATTCTAGTAAATGATTTTAAAGAATACATGGAAAGCTCAAATAGCCACATGGGTTAAGGAGTCAATATGTAATTTAAATAGACAAATAATGTAATCCAAAAAAATACTTTACATTGGTCTTATGCCATTCTTCTAATGAATAATTCTTCATAATACAAAACTGATTATGTTTTATTCAATTTAAAAACATCTATAAAAATAAACTTAAATGCATTAAGTTACATCTCTTAGCCTTCTATATTCACAACAGCTTACGCAGATTCATCATTTAGTTAAAAATGTATTACCTTTACATTTTTTAAAATGCTATATACTTAGTAAAAATAAACTTACTTTATCACTGAAAATAAGGTTCTGTAGAGTTGGGTAAAAATTTCATTGCTATCTTCTAACTCAAAGCATATGTTATATGACTTGACCCAAGCGATGTTCTAAAAATAAGGAGCAAAATGGTGAAAGGTAAATACTTGGATCAGAAAAATATACAAGCTCAAAAAATCCGTTTAAAATGTCACCTCAAGATGTAACATATTGCTTACCTCAAGTAAATAAAAATACCTATTGAATTGTGGACTCTTTGTATCCTCTAGTCCCTTTAGCTGCCTTGTTATAAACATAAATATATCCTTTATAAAAAAAAAGAAAAGTATTGTTTAGATTATGGATGATAAATGAAAATATCAACTAAAGTCCTAAAGTGAATTCAGCACTCATGTGTATATATCATGATACATTGTAAAAAACCAGAAAAACATTGCATTTGACTGTAACTTTTTAAAGTGCATCTTTAGGTGGTTTTTCTTCTTTGAAAAACTTGTCCGTGGCAGGTCTTTCTTCCATGTATCTTCCTTTTTCCTTCTCTTCTTCTTGCTAATAAACTCTGTTTTAAAACTTTTTTTAAAAAGTACATCTTTATATGAACAAGACTAAATATCTTACTATCCTTCATAGGAAAACATTAAATAATTTACTGTGACCTTAAAGTAGTAAAAGGAAAATTTTCGCTTCCATCAAGTTAAACAAATAGACGTGAAAACTGAGTCAGCTAAAATTTATGCTATTTTTAGAACAAAAATGTTGCAATGACTGAGACCTGATCAGGTTTGCTGGAGCAGCACAATATATGGTAAATATATAGCAAGAACAGTTTGGGAAACTCAAAATTAATCGCCAAGAGACAAGACAATAAATTCCACACAGAAGCTTAGAAGTTTTAGAAAGACTCTTAGAAGTCAACTTGTCAAGCTTCCTATCTATAATCACTGTAATTACTTGCTTTCTGCCACCATGTCCCAATCTATTCCCATCTCATGCTTTTGATTTTTGACTACAGCTACTTTTGTACCTGGGTAAAGACAGGTTCAATGTCACTTTGAGTCAAGTTTATATGAAAATGAGTTTCAAGAGAAATGTAGATGATGTTTTTGAAAAGGCTTAAAATTATAAAAGCTAATTCTGCAAGGAAGCATGCTATCAATCAGCAAGATAAAAAATATTTTCCTATGAGTAAAACAATATGCAAGCATATTTTAAAAACAAAAACTTATAATATGTAAAGTACTGAGTAATTTTTCAAGAAAAGTACCATCAAAGGGATTTCAAACATGGTTACTTTTTTTTTTAAATGGGGGGGGAGAAATTACTTTGACAGCAGTACTATTAAAAATATGTTCTCCATAAATGAACCCTTCCTGGATTGTCTAAAAGAGAATACATGCCATATTGATTCTACCTGAAGATGGAAGATAACAGTCATTTATAATCTCACCAACAGTTACTGACTGACCAAAACATGAAGTCATATAAAAAGGGCTTGCTGATAGCAGTAACAAACCAATAGTGGAAAGGTAAGGCTCAAGGTAACATAATATTCTAATATGCATAACACTACTGTAGACAGCGTGTGTGTGTATGTACATGAACTTGATGCTAATCAAAAGAGAGTAAAAACTATTCCATAGTTACTTAGAAAGCACCTTCAAAATTATTTTAAGCACTATCCCCCCAAAAGAAAAAAGGACAAGACTCAAAAACTGATCAGAAAAATAAAATACTTTAAATTTGTCAGCTAGGGGATAACACACTAAGACCCTAATCTCAGTTCTTTGATATTCTTCTCGTAAACTGTTCTAAGTAGAATTAATCTGTAGCTATCCTTTTGGAAGAAATTTTCATTACTCCAAAGCTCTGAAATAGGTGATTGATTATACAAACTGAGAAATTCTCAAGAGAAGTAAATAAATTACATAATAGGAGCCTTTATAGACTTCCTCTTCATGAGAATGCCAACAAGACACCTAGTAAGGAAGACACACACAGCCTACAGTCAACCAAAGAGAATCATTCTTTAAAACAATTAAGTATCTCCAAATGAAAGGTTCACATTTAGAAATCAAGTTATATTCCTGGATACACAACTATATGGACTAGGCTCATGGTATCTACTTTAAGTATCTAACCATTCTCCAATCTTACAATTCAATTCTACTTTTAAATGACGAGTAGTGCCCTCTGCCTCACTCATCTTGAGATTCTTTCACCAATCAAAATTTAAAACAAGCATGCTCCAAACCATTCCATACTTCAGTTTTGGCAGACTTGATCAAATGAGCCGGTTCCTTGCTCCAATTATCAAGAAACAACTCTATGAGTCCAGGACTTATGTCTGTAGTTTTTTGTTTTACCACTGTAAAACTAGTTCCTGACACATAAGTAACAGCAAGATTTTCTAAGTGAAATAAACATAAACTGCCATTTTTTCACACTGTGGATCAATAATCATCCTATGGACTCATTCTCTAACTACAGCTTCAGTTATGTCATTCAAAATCTTTTGCACAGTCCTAATTACCTACATGCTTTCTACTAGCATTTTTCTACATAGGTTACTCATGTTATTCCCCTTTTCCCCTCATCTTTTAAAGATTCTGCATTCATATGGTTTTATTTATGACTACCATAACCAAACACTACATGTTTTTTTCTACCTTTCCATTAAAATTCCATTCACTGTATTTTCTTCTACACAATTTACATCACACCCTCCATTAAATGAAGTAGGATTATGTATTACACAGATTTATACTAGATACCGTGTTTTAAGTAATGGCCACGGTCTTTAATACAGATTTTTAAAATGGAAAAGAAATCGTCCCCAAGATTATATTAAAAGAAACAGAGCTCATGATTACATAATATAAAAAGTATGTACTGTGTAACTCTACTTCATATAACAAGATCGGAAATTGTTTTTCAGAAGTTCTACCAAAAACAGAAAAAGTTTGGCAAAAGACTGCTGCAGTTAATGTCAAAGAATTAAAAAAACCCTAAATACTTTAACTCTCATTTTAGTCAGAAAGACAAATCAAAGTACTAGTCAATCTTGAAGTTCTTTAAATCAGTACTTGCCTTTAGTTTATCAGGAGATGTGTAAGGAGCTTCAGGAGCATAAATCCTGAAAATATCAGCAAGGCAGCAGGCTACCAGTAAGCGAACATCTTTATCAGGATGCTTGAGGAAAAAATCTGAGGCAAGATGTAAAGCTAGGTTTAGATAAAGCTCCTTTTCTTCTTCCGAGTCCTGGTCCATATCCATAAAAGTTTTCACAACCATCTATACAAAAACAAAATCACATAGTGAAATGCCTTCATGTAAAAATACAGTCATTTGAAATAAAGGCCATATTAATTGCAAAGGCTAACTTCAAATAAATATACTTTCGTTTTTTTTTACAAAAAGTGTCTGAGAAAATAAAATCCTTCTAAAACTACTTTAATAGACTAGATAGACTATTTTTCTCATTTACCAACATATCTGCTAACCAGATTTTAAAAGTTTAAATTTAGCCTTATATGGTAGTCATTACTGGAAGAATTCCAATTGAATATTTGTTGAAACTTCTAGTCTCATTTGTACCACTGGACTAAAAGAAGTACGTCCTTGAAAATACTAACTCTTTTTTATAATAGTTCAAATTCTCTCATTAGAATAAAAGGCATATACCTAAAGATAACCCTAGAATAACAACTTAGGGTTTCCATCTGAGCCATTAAACCACTCCTGTCACATGGCTCACATATTCAACTAAAAAAGTATAGTCAGATTTAAGAAAATATGTCAAAGATGCTTCCCTAAACATTAAAAAGCTATCATGAAGCAACTATCCAAAGCATCCAACAAATTGTTTCTTGTGCCACAGTAAAAAAGAATATGACACAAACAGTTCACTGACTCAATAGCACGTATGTGGTGAGCAGAAAGAAGCTACAAGAAATGCTTCACTGACATTAAACACAACTCCAGGGAAAAAGTGGTCATCTAGCATCCACTAGGTGGTGCTGCAAATACTAAGCAACAAGTAGGGCTGGCCTCCAAGCATCAATGTCTTGCCTTGGTCCTTATGCTGCAAGGATTTCCACTTGCTGAAGAGCTAAACACCTGAGCAATGAATAGTTCAACTTCAGACTGAATTCCCAGAGGAGGTGTGGGAAACACTGTTCTTCACAGAGCAACCCCTCGGTTCTATTACATCAAAACCAAGAGTAATCCTTCCAATCTGGCATTACAGCTAGTTTAAGAGTATGATGCCCAGGGATATTCTTGTAACTCTGTAGTTTTTGTACTTTGAAAACACGTGCTTTGACTGCCTATGCATTTATGAACAGACACAATATGCAAAAGGGGGGAAAAGCTAGGTGCAGAGAACTTTATCTCTCTGAATCTCTTCATAAGAGAGTAAGAGATTATATTTTGAAGAAGGATGCTAAAAATGGTGGGAAGTATAAATTAGGAAAATGCACAAGGAAAAAGAATAACCAGATTACTGCCAATCATAAATATCTACAAAATAATGAACGCATACTACAAATGCTAAACATTAAGTACTGTGGAAATAATTCCACCAAGACTAACAACAGTTAGTTCAAGGTCCAGATAATGGGAATTCCTCACTACTGTCTACAACTCAAATGGTGTAATTAAACCCATGAATAACTCATGAGTCCTCCAAATTTAAGAAGATGTCTGAGAAAGTAACAACTCTAAAAGACACTAAATGCTAATCAGTTTATAAGTGTAGGCTCTGTCTGTGGTTCAGGATTACTTTCTCAGCAAACAACTGATGTTTACCTATTATCTTAGAACATATAAACAAATGTGAGGAAGTAAATATACTCGTTTCTCTAAAAATCCAATAGGTCAAGAGAAGGTAAACATATATAACATAAAACATGTCATATACAGAAGGGATTTGTAGTTTGATTATTCTTAATAAAATAAATATACATGCATTTCCAACTAGGTAAGATATCTACCTACTAGTAAATTTAATCTGCTCAGAGATGTATTTTCCTTGGAATAATAAACATCTGATATCTGACATTCTATTACTTTTATGTATAAATGCTTAATATTAAGATTTTATGTGAAATTTACAAGAGTATACCATCCTTTTCTCTTTATAAAAATACAGCATGAAGTAATATAAAATAATACTTTGTTTTAACTCTGCTGGGCCTTCAACGATTAATTTAGGAAAGTTTTTCAGCCCTGAAATCCAGATAAATAAGAGTATATCAAGTAACATAAATGTCCAGGAAGATGTAACCTAGAAGGGAAAAAATGCTCACAAATAAAGACTATCTAAACTAGTGAATAAATCAGCTTAAAATTCTCCTTGGCCACTATGCTTCTTTATGCATATTAATAATCACAGCGACTATCACTGCCCTGAAAGAAAAGGTGTAATACTGTTCAAATAGGTAGAAAGAGACCTTAGCCATACAGTGACTGCTTCATCCATGGAAGTTTACCAGCAATCTTGATTCATTGCTGCATGTCAGAAGCAGAGAGAGAAGCTAACAGTCAAGCTCTTTGACCTACTCTCAAAATAACTTACAGGCCAGTAACACACAGTATGATTACTTGGTATAAAGACTTAAAACCTCCTTTCTGAAATTAAAGGTTTTAGAAAATAAATGAGATATAGGAGAAAGGAGACAACTTTGCAGAAGCAAAAAGAAATGTAAGAGGACTGTGGATTGTTCGTTATACTCAAGTACAGGTCCTAGAAAATCTAAGTTTCACCTGCCTAATTGCTTTTCCCATCAGCAATAGCCAAGAAATTCTTACTGTTCTTTATCTACTCTATTCCCTTAGATCCTTTCTCTACATTTGCTGCTTTGAATTGCTTTTTAAAGATGCCCTAACAAGATACAGCCCTATGTAATTTTGACAGGGGACCTCTCCCACCCTAAATAGATGTCCAAAAGAACATATTTAATTTTACTCACTTTTAACCGTCTCACCATCTCCTCTTTAGATATTTTATCTGAGATTTCCTTGACACCAGGAGGATAAGTAATTTTCCCATCATTGGTCCTAGTCTTTGAATGAGCCATGACGGAAATATCTTTACCCCTAAAACAAGAAAACCATTAGATGTAAGCCAAATAGGTATAAACAGTCATAATAAACATAAAAGATAACCTTCCCCTCCAAACAATTTTTAACTACTTCCTAATTTATAGAAATTTATAGAAAACATTTCCCAAAATTATATTTGATAAAGCAAAACTTATTTTTACTTTCATTTCTATTAGTGGCAAGCAATGTTATTTGCATTAATCCTCCAACAGCAACAAAAAACTATAAATGCTAGAGGAAAAAAATTTTGCTGAGATATATGGCCTAAGTGGCCCAAAGAATCTCAAAACATGAAGAGAATGATCCCCAACTAATAGTAACCCTAAGAACCTAACATAACTAAATCGGCCCTGCTTAGAGAAGACGTTTTCATCCTAAGCTTTAAAGAATACTCACTATGTTTCTAGAACAATGAACAGTATCAAGTCAAAAATAACCAAGCAACTATGAGGGAGAACTGGAAGAAAAACTCTTAATTCCTCAGATATTATAACTATCAAACAGATCATAAAACCACCACACCTAAAATCTTTTTAAAAAGACAATTCTGACAATACAAGCAGAAAATAAAAATTTTTAAGAGTAACCCAGAATATTTGAAAAAATAAAACTAAAAACGAAAAAGTGCAGTAACAAATTAAAAACCCAATGAATGAGTTTTTATTAGATAGAAAAATCTGTTAGAATTAGTGAACTGAAAGAAAGGTCAGAAGAAATTAACCAGACTCAACACAGAGAAACATAAAACAACAATATATAGAACAAAGGATAGAAAGGTCTAACTGTAACCTATGATTCATGAGAGAGACAGAAAACAGGATGAAGTGAAGGCCTGATACCTATAGAGAAAATCATAAAATACCACTCTACAAATTCAAGAAGTCAAACAAGATTAAATCCAAAATAATAATAATAATAATAATAATTCCAGAAAGCAGAATCTTAAAGCAAACACATTACACTGAAAGTAATAGGATTTAAACTAATAGGTGACATCTCAACAGCAACAATGTAATACAGAAGACAGCAAAATGTCATCTTCAATGTGGAAAAAGAATATAATCAAGCCTAAAGTTACAACCAAAGCATATAATTTTTAAAAAAAAATACAATTTTCAAGAATAGGGTGAAATAAGAAAAAATTAACCAGAGAGAGATCTAAGAAGTATGTATGTATAAAAGAACTTAGAACACTGTTTAGCATATACTAAGTACTAAACAATGTGTATATATATTATAAGGTTAGAACAAGATCTTAAACTTTCAATATAGAAAAAACTTGGAAGACAATGAAAAAAATGTGGCTATGGTACGTTGAAAACAAAAGGATGAAAAAATACAGCACACAAATGCTAAACAAAAGAAAGCAATCTACCTAAAAGCTAATGAAAAAGATAAGGAGGTCCCAGGACTCACTGTTTGGTATTTACTCAATAAAGCATATACGTTTGTCCACCATAAAAAACATACATTAATATGTTCATAGCACTAACCCTATAGTGGCAGAAAGCAGATCAGCTGCTACCTGAAGCGAGAAAACTGGGGAGGGGAAGGAGGGAGAGGTTACAACAGAGGTGCTTGGTTATTTTTAAGGGTGATAAATATAGGCACAATTGAATTGTGGTGCTGGTTTCACTGGCATATACATGTCAAAACCTATCAAATCTCACACTTTAAATACATACAATAGCAATTATACCTTAATAAACCCATTTAAAAACAAAAATGGCTGGGCTCGGTGGCTCAGCCTGTAATCCCGCGCCTTTGGGAGCCCGCAGGTTCGAGAACCGCCTGGGCAGGCGAGACCTCATCTCTACAATAAATAAAAAAACAAAAATTAGCCGGGCATGGTAGTGCGTGCCTGTAGTTTCAGCTACTTGGAAGGCTGAGGCGGAAGGATCGCCGGAGCCCAGCAGGTCAAGGCTGTGGTGGCCAGAAGCGGCCACTGCACTCCAGTCTGGGCGACAGTGAGACTTCAACTCAAAAAAAATTAAATAAATAAAAACAAAAATATTCTTAGCAATACCATTCAGAGTAGACAAAACAGAAAACACAAATGTCCATCAACAGTAGAATGATAGGTAAACTGTAGTATATCCACACAGTGGAAAACCATACAGCTATGAAAGTGAATAAATTACTGCCTCACATAATTATATGGATTAACATTACAAATAAAATTAAGTGAAAGACATCAGATACAAAACTCTACACAGTATACACTTAATTTATATGAGTTCAAAACACAGAGAACCCTAATCTATGATGCTAAAAGTCATAATAATGATACTTTTGGGAGCAGATGGTAAGAGCGGTGAAAGGGACTTCTGAGATGCCAGTTACATAAGTATTTTCACTTTGTGTAAAATCATAGAGCTAAAGACATAATTTTTGCCCTTTTCTAAATGTGTTACATACCTCAACAAAAAGTTTAACAAGAAAAGTTCCATACACTTAAAATTTTTAAAGCACTTAATAATAAACAAATCAAAAGAAAACAAAAATAGAATTCAACAAAGTCAAAAATCACGGGCCAATCTTATGTATTTGATAACATAACAGTTGATAATTTACATAAAATTGAGAAACTAGAAATCTTAATACCAAAACTAACTCAAGAAGCAAAAAAAAAAACTATTAAGAAACAATAATCAATAAATCATTCCACAGGAGGCTGGGCATGGTGGCTCATGCCTGTAATTCCAGCACTTTGGGAGGCCAAGGCTGGAGAATTGCTTGAGCTCAGGAGTTCAAGACCAGCCAAGGCAAAACAGTGAGACCTCCTCTGTACAAAAAAATCAAAAATTAGCCAGGCATGGTAGTACACACCTATAGTCCCAGCTACCTGGAAGGCTGAAACAGAAGGAATGTCAGAGCCCAGGTGGCCAGGATTATGGTGAGCCATGATTGTGCCACTGCACACCAGTCTGAGTGACAAAACGAGACCTCAACTTCAGGAAAAAAAAAAAGAAATTTCACAAGGAGAAATCTCCAAGTTTCCATGGTTTTACTATTGAGTTCTACCAAATAATTAAGAAATAATTCCAATGTCATAAAAATAGTTCTAAGGAATGAAAAACAAGGGAATTCTTCCAAACTAATTTGATGCAACTAACTTGCACAATAACTCTGATGCCAAAGTGGATTTTTTAAAAATCAATATATTGATACTCCTCAACTAACAATGTGGCTACACCCCAATAAACCCATCATAAATTGAAAATATCTTTAGTCAAAACTGCATTTCCAACGTAAGTCAAGAAGCATACCAAATGTGTATTACTTGCATACCATCATGAAGCCCAAAAATCATAAGTCAAACTTCTGTAAGTCAGGGACATCCATACAAACATAAATGACCAACAGGTAGTACAATACTTAATGATAAAAGACTAAATGCTTTCCCCTAAGATCAGAAACAGAAAGGATGTTCACTCTAAACACTTTCATTCTGAAGCCCTAGGCAGTATAGAAAGGCAAACAACAGAAAATAAAAGACATATACTGGGGATACCAAAAAAAAGGTATACATATTTTAAGAGATGTTTGCCATAATGAAGTGTCTGGATGCTGATAGTAACCACTTTGAGCACCTCTTGTAGTTGCAGAAGTTGCAGAAATCAAACGTGACTTGTACTCATCTTTTGTTATCAGTATACATTGACTATTACCATTTTAATACAGTTTTTCCTTTCTTAAAATGTGTAATTTTTTGGCCCCCTCTGTATATTGAAGAAGAAGAAATAAAACTGTCCCATTTCCATATGACAAAACTGTCTACAAAGAAGATCCCAAAGGAATCTATAAAAAAATACTAGTTCATCAAGGATGCAAGAAATAAGAACATCCAAAAATCTACTGTGTTTGTTCATATAGTAATGCATTGCTTAACGATAGGGATACACTCTGAGAAATGCATTGTTGGGGGATTTCATCACTGTGCAAACATCATACAATGTACTTATACAAACCTACCTAAGACAGGCTACTACACACTTAGGATATATCCTACATACCTAGAATATAGCTTATTGCTAGTCTACAAACCTGTCCAGCATGTTACTATACTGAATACTGTAGGCAATTGTAACAAAATGTAAGTATTTATGTATCTTGTATATCTAGACTTAGAAAAGGTACAGCAAAAATTTGGTATTATAAGCTTATAGGATCCTGTCATGTAGGCAGTCAGTCACTGACCAAAATGTTGTTATGCAGTACACATCAGTATATGAAAACAATGGCAAGGCAAACTAGTAAGGAAAGAAGAGAAAAAAACAATAAAAGGTTCTAAGACACTTCCATATCTCTATGGAAAAAAAATGGCACTGTACCTATATCATAAACAAAACGAACTCCAAGTACATTAATAATCTAAATATAAAAACAAAATGGAAGAGCTTTTAAGATATAAGAGAATAACTTCATGACTTCAGGTTAGGAAAAGCACTATCAAGAACCAAGCTCATAGCTGTGCTTCTTCACCAAAGAAGATATTCAGCCTAGGCCTAGGACAAACCTCTCTACCAAGCCTGGAATGGAAGAAAGTGCCTTTGCCTTATCTCAAAGACAAAAGCTGTTCATTGTCCATAAAAACAAATACATGATTGTGGCCATAGACCACAGCTAAATAATGCAGACACAGTAACCTTATTAAATATACTCATCCATATAGTCAAAAACTTGAGTAAGCTGTGTCAAAATCTACCAAGGGAAACAGACATGCTCTAAATAATTACAGTAGCTTCTGAAATCATCCTAACAGATATAAACAATAAGCTCGGAAAAAATAAGACTCAAAGAAAAACCATGTCTATAAGTAGATGAAAATAAAGTGGTAGTAATGTACAGAATAAAAGGACAGAGAAAACTATAATTTGTGACTGTACTACAAGTGTGACTAAAGGGAAAGGTGAAAGAAAGTAAAACTTTAAAAAGGAAAAGGAAGAGCCGACAAAGAGACATGTTACTGAGTCTGCTCTTCAGTCTTATAAGCAGAGGTATTGTAAGCAGAGATTTGAAATACCTCTGTGAACATACACAGGCTATTTCCTTAATCGACTAGGCGAACCCTAAAGGACCTTAAAGTCTCACGTCTCCATTTTAACTTTCCCTGACCTCAACCAGACAGAGATAGGCTTCTCTCCCTACAACTAGTCATACTTTGAACCTACTACAATTACCATTTATCACATGGTATTAACTGTATGTATTTCTGTTTCTCCCACTAGATCATAAGCTCCTTAAGAAAAAGATATTTCTATTTAGTATCTATTATACATAACAGGCACTATCAATGGTAGGTACTAAGGCAGTATTTACTAAATGAATGACCAGAACTCTCCTAAGAGACTGTGGTTACATTATGCAGTACAGACTAAATAGAGGAAAAATTAAATACAATAAAACCAGTTAGGAAATTCCTGTAAAATTCTAGATAAGAAGTAATGAGGAGCTGACTGCAGACAATGACTGTAAAAGGAGAAAACTGATTCAAAGACTTATGAAATGATGATAACAGAGAAGTAGATGACTGTAATATTCAAAGTCTTTGTTCCTGGAAAGTCCTTTACTTAAATATTCACTGAGAATTTACTTGGTGCAATATACTATGCTAAGTACTAGGAATGCAATGATGAGTAAATATATAAGATCTCTGCTCTCACAATAATAGAAATGGAGGAAAACCCAGAGAGAGATCAAGTCTTGAGAAAACGAAGTTTGGTCTAGAAGGCAACTGTGGAGTATGTGTTAAAAGTTTTAGAAAAATGTCAAGGCCAGAAAATAACTTTTATGACTATTGCTCATGCTTTATGGGTTTACAAAATCGGTAAAAAAAATGTGTAGGGTGAGCTGAGATACCAAGACTGAACTTTGAGGAAATACCCATACTGGTTTGGGGGAGTGGGAGGATAAAGAAGGAAACCAGAAGGAAAAAAAAAAGTAGAAAAATGAGTAAAGTTTGAAGTCTGGAAGTGTGGTATCTCCTGCTTTGTTTCTTTTGCTAAGGATCGTTTGGGCTATTCGTGGTCCTTTATGTTTCCATATGAATTTCTGTACTGTCATTTCCAGGTCTGAGAAGAATGATGCTGGTAACTCAATGGGTATTGCATTGAATCTGTAGATTGCCTCTGGTAGGATAGACATCTTAACAATATTGATTCTTCCTATCCATGAGCATGGAATATTTTTCCATTTGTTTGTATCTTAGATTTGAGTAGGGTTTTGTAGTTCTCACTGTAAAAGTCTTTCGCTTCTCTGGCTAGGAAGATGCCGAGGTATTTCAATTTTTTTGTGGCTACTGTGAATGGGATTGTGCTTTTAATTTTAGTCTCTGCCTGTTTGCTGTTGGTGTATAGGAATGCAACTGTCTTTTGCATATTTATTTTGTACCCTGAGACTTTGTTAAAGTCCTTTATCAGTGCAAGCAGGTTTTTGACAGTCTCTTGGATTTTCAAGGTATAGGATCATATCATCAGCAAAGAGGGATAACTTGACTTCCTCTTTTCCTATTTGGATACC